TTCCGTCTCATATCTCTCTAATGCAACTTACAGAATCATACTCTCTTCTTTTATGTGTGTGTGTGTGTGTGTGTGTGTGTGTGTGTGTGTGTGTGTGTGTGTGTGTGTGTGTGTGTGCGTGCGTGCGTGTGTGTGTGTGTGTGTGTGTGTGTGTGTGTGTGCACGCATGCGCGCGCGTATGGCTTTACTGTGTCCTTTGGATGCCATATCAACTATTCTGTTCCTATTAGACGATCTTTTACAATGGGAATGTGAGTAAATAAGTACTAACGTATTTTATATCAGCAAAAGGGAAATGATATGAATAACAAGGCTTAAATTTCTAAAACCTCTTCTTTTCATCTCAGCTTTGCTAGTTGTTGGAAGCTGGTTCTTGCACCTGTTTACAATAAAACCTTCTGACTCTTTCCATTCTGCTGCCTTAAATATGTCTTAGATCCAAGCCAGATTCTCAAATCCTGTTCTCAACGCCATTTACATCATAATAATCAACAGTGAGGGAACAGCATATTTTGTAAAGAGCAAATTTCCACTCAACTGCAAGCTCTATACGTTTTACAATCCAATATTATTACACCAGCCGATCTGATCTCTTCCTGAAAGTATGTCAACCTCTTGGAAAGCACACAGTATACGCAGTCATTTTACAGGTGCTACAACACTGACGTTCTGACACGGTCTTTCACTGTCTATGGCAAAGTACCCATTCACACCTGGGTGAAGTTAGAAAGATTCATGTTACGTGCCTTACCCAAGGGCACTACGTCGATCCTGAGTCTCGAATCCACGAACCTGCAACCTCATGATTACGATAGTCCGGAAGCCGAACCGCCAGAATTTCTCGCCTCAAACATACATAACTAAATTATTACGGTCCCACGCCCGATGCACACTGTGTCCTAAACCCAGAGTCACGGAAAACTCGATGAAGTCTCTACCTTAGAATTACTAAGTTCTATGTAACATTTTTGGCCGTTTTGAGTCACAAAGACCATGCGTTCAGTAACCAAATGTTCTATTTACTCTATCAAATTTGTAAGATTATTTGGTACAGTAATCAAGACAATAGTCAAAGAGATGCATTAACAAAAGCTTGACATGTTGTGCTACTCTAATGTTATTACGTCAATTTTCTCAAAACTAAAGTACTCAGCAGATAGAACTTTATAATTCCAGGGTAGCGAAAGGTCACGATCACCACTGGACAACAAGATCCGCGTGGCCGTTTTGGTCGACATACACACACATGTTACAGGTGTCATGTCCTCTCCAGGCTGACAGAGCCTGATCATTGGTGGTCACGGTGAATTGACAGGCAGCGTGGTGAAATCAAGCGCTCGGCAAAACAATGAAATCTAAGAAACCGACATTTTTTCGCTTGTTTAGATTTTTTTCTTAATATTGATTTCCGTTAAAAAATTCTATCATTTTTAGGATTTATTTATTTATTTATTTATTTATTTATTTATTTATTTATTTATTTATTTGTTTATTTATTTATTTAGTTATTTTATTTATCTTTTAAAAAATATTTCTTAAAAGGGGGAGACAGGGGATTTACCTTTTATGTTAATTTCCAATGCATCCCCCCCCCAAAAAAAAAAAAATAGATTTGCAGTTTTCAATGACACAATAATTTTGGTAGTTACCAGACTTTGGCGGCTATTTTCTCGATTATTTTACAAAATTCACTGGTCGATCCCCATCTCTTTTAACCGCAAATATCTCGACTTCTAATCAAGATTGAAGAGGGTTTTTTTCCATCTAAATCAACACGAATGAACAGAACTACACCAAAAACACCGTAAGCCCAAAAGATGACGAGCGCATGATTTCCCCGCGTCGTGACCCATGAAGATGTCGGAGATGCCCTATCGGACTAGAATACACCGTTCATCACTAGAAGAACAACGTTTATCACTAGAATACACCGTTCACCACTAGAAGTACAAAGTTTATCACTAGAATACACCGTTCATCACTAGACGTACAACGTTTATCACTAGAATACACCGTTCATCACTAGACGTACAACGTTTATCACTAGAATACACCGTTCATCACTAGACGTACAACGTTTATCACTAGAATACACCGTTCATCACTAGACGTATAACGTTTATCACTAGAATACACCGTTCATCACTAGAAGTACAACGTTTGTCACTTGTAGAAACTACACTACCTCCGAATTACAAAGTTCTTTCTGACATTTTTGGCTGTTTTGAGTTACTAAGACCCTGAGATCAGAAACCAAATGTTCAATCTGCTCTAACGAAATCGTAAGATTATTCGGAGTCGTTATCAAGATTTTCAAAGCGTTGCATTAGAAAAGCTTAGTTTAGTTTTAGTAGAGGTTTTATGGTGCTCGCAACTACATAAGGTCATATGAGCGCCAAAAGATTAGAGGTGTTACAAGAGAGTAACAAACATAAACAAAGAAGAAGGGTAGATAAGGATGATAGATGTTTGATAGGAAAGAAGAAGCAAACCACACCAGAGCACCAGCCAACCACCCACATGAGAAAATTATGACGTCAAATTACTCAAACCTAGGTACTGGGTAGATAGAACTTTATAATTCTGGGGTAGCGACTAGTTAGGATGAGATCAACTAGATTCTAATCGTTACTGCGATAGACTTCTTCTTTATAAAGTGCAACGTACCCGACTGTATTCTTTCCGCCGATTAGGTTTTGTTTTAAGATTTGTGAGATAAAAAATATAATGCGTTGAATATGTATGCCAATAGCTGCTCTTATATCATCATTCCGTGCCTGTCTTTTTTTCCTTATGATGTTTTGCGTTTCGCAGAGGCTTTCTGCCTCTTAAATAACCTAACAGCGTTGATAGGGGCGTTGAACCCATACTATGTCATGCGGGGACATTTGTGAGGCAGCATGGTGGAATCATGCTCTTGTCAAAATAATCAAAGTGGAGAAGCTTGCATTTTTCCGCAGGTTTGTGAAATTTTATCAATTTTGTGTTTTTTGGCTCAACACCTTTCATGCCCATTAAAGAACTCATTTCTGTTTGGATTTTTCTGAAAAACGTTGATTCAAGGCACAAGAAATGTAAATTTTCAGTTACCACGGTCTCTTAAGCAAAGGAAATAACTAATCTTTGGCGGCCAACTTCTCACTAATTTTACCTCTGAAAACAGGTGACCTCCACCTCCTTCTTTCACAAATATCTCGACTTGTGTTCAAGATAACTGTATATTTCTTTCATCCAAATAAACACAGATGAACAACCTTTAAGGTTATACCAATAACTCTACATGCTCAAAAATGACGAGAGCCTGGCTCCACCACGCTGCCTGACATTTATATCGCACGCAATGAATTTGCTTTCATGGATTTTTCCAAACGTCCGGGCCTGACACTGGTAAAATAATGTTGGTATAAATAATGAAATACTGAAATATTGTATTTATGCTAGGAAAAGGCTAAATGTGTTGGCTACAAGAGGCATTATAAATGACATCCATAAATAAGACCCTTTGAAAGCGGAGGAATACTTAAAGTTTGGGGATTATATGTCTATGTCTTGTTTCATGTAATCCCTATTACCATTTCGCTACCTTAGAAATACCAAGTTCTCTCTAACATTTTTTACCGTTTTGAGTTACTAAGACCATGAAGTCAGAAACCAAACATTCCATCAGAATCAAAATCGTAAGATTATTCGGAGTTGAAATGAGGACATTTCAAGAATTTCGTTATAAAAAAACCTGACATATTGTGAAACTCAACATTTCTTACGTCAAATATTCTCAAAAACTGTGTTCTGAGCAGATAGAACGTTGTCATTCTAGGACAACGACTTATCTCCCCGTCTGTGGCGTTTTATACGCCATCTTATACATGTAGACAGGGGTCGATTTGACAAGCCGATCTTTCAAAGGTTATATATAAGCTCAGTTGGCGAAAGATAGGCGGGGGCGTTACATCTATCGGTTTTCGTCGGAGCGGCAGACGGGGTGAAAGGTTTAGGGTTGATGACCAAACGCCACCCTCGTTGACACGTTCAAGCGTGGGAGAGAAATTAATCTGTATTCGCCGATAGAGTGGGCGGGGGAAGGGAAAGATGCGGACACATTCGATTTAAAAATGTAAATCTTTTGGCTGGTTTCGGGTTGAAACTAACATTAGAAATGTGTCAGAGCAGAAATCTCTCTCCCTCTCTCTGTCCGTCTGTCTGTCTGTCTGTCTGTCTGTCTGTCTGTCTGTCTGTCTGTCTGTCTGTCTGTCTGTCTGCCTATCACTCTGTCTCACTGCCTGTCTCCCCCCTCTCTCTCTATCTCTCTCTCCCTCTCTCACACTCGCGTCCCGTCCTCCTCTTCTTTCTCCATCACGTCACCCGCCCCCTCCTCAACCAAACCACCATTCTCTAACACTAATAACTCCGTTCTCTATTTCACTTTCTTTCACTCCTTTCTCCTCACCATTATCTCTCCTTCTGCCCACTATCGATCACATGTGTGTGATTCTTCCTGGAGCGAGCCATACCTTTGATCAGGTAAGGTTAAATTGCTCTGTGATTCCAACTTGTCCCAATTAAAGACTAGAAAACGATCAATGAACAAAAATCTTGACTCATCTTTCTACAATCCCCAACCCATTTGAACCATACAAATAAAAAGTTAACATTCTATTTAAGGTCTCTACTTTGAAAAAAAAAGTTTTCTTTATTTTTCTATTATTGTAAGAGTTTAATTGCACGATTTTAGTTGTTTCTGATTTCATTGGTTAGACGGAAGCCTCTGAGCTGTTCAATACGATTCCAGTCCATCATTTCAAAGCAACATGTTCTGTATATATGTAAATACGTTTGTGTTTTTGTTTTGTTTTTTCTGTTATCTTGTCATCGATGGATGTGTCGTTGTCGTTGTCGTTGAGTTTGTCTATGAAAATGAATGTTCTTGTCCCCTATATCATATATTTCTCTATTTCTCTCTCTCGCTCTCTCTCTCTCTCTCTCTCTCTCTCTCTCTCTCTCTCTCTCTCTCTATCTATCTATCTATCTATCTATCTATCTATCTATCTATCTATCTATCTATAGCGGTTAGGTGTTTCACTGTCGAACACAGGAAACTCGAGTTTGATTCTCGATTATTGGAAAGGGTTTATCGTATATCTCCGTATTTCTGATTAGATATTGTATTCCTCTTGGCCCTGATAGGAAGGGTCGTAACTCACTTCCTAAATCTTTCAGATTGTGTCCATGGGAGTGTTAAACAACGACATGACAAAAAAGAAAATTCTGCCTTAAATCATCTGTCAGATCTGTACCTTTATCCTCGATTTACAAGAACAATAACGGTGAGTTTTCTTCTTTTCTTCCTTCTGCCCCCGTCTCTCTTTCTTTCTTTCTCTCTCTCTCTCTCTCTCTCTCTCTCTCTTTCTCTCTTTCTCTCTCTCTCTCTCTTTCTCTCTCTCTCTCTCTCTCTCTTTCTCTCTTTCTCTCTCTCTTTCTCTCTCTC